GCTCTGAAAATGTTCACAGCCCCTGCTGATCCACTGCAGGCAGTTACTTGGAAATATCGCAGATAGAAAAAATTAGCAATTAACTGTCAGAGATGCTAAATCAATTATCAGTAGACTCCCCCTCTTTGAGAAGGCAGTAGACAGAAATCAGGGATTCCATGAATTTTTAAAAATTTTTTATTTGTTTGTTTTATTTATTTAAAAGGCAGAAGAGAGTGAGATCAAAAGCAAAAGCCAGGAGGGAGAAATCTCCCATCTGCTGGTTTACTCCCCAAATACACACAACGTCTGGGGCTGGGCCAGACAGAAGCCAGGAGCCAGGAGCCAGGAGCCAGGAGCCAGGAACTCAATCCAAGTCTTTAATATGGGTGGCAAGGACTCAACTGCTTGAGCCATCACCTGCTGCCTTTCCGTGTGTACATTAGCAGGAAGCTGGAATCAGGAACAAAGCCAAGACTCAATCTCAGGCACTGAGATTTGGGATGCAGGAGCACCAAGCACTGGCTAAACCGCTATGCCAAACACCTGCCCAGTTCAATGAACTTGAATGAGAAAAAATAGAAACTTATTTTCATCATCCTTTCACTAAACTCAATATTTCCTTTAATTATGAAAGGAAGTAACATAACACAGAAGTATTAGCAATACCTGTGTGATGGGCTTTGGACAGACCAAATACCATAGAATTTAGTTTGTAGTTGCTCCCTCCTCCCAGCAGGAGAATAAAATGCTAAGTAGCTCCAGGGCTGGAGAGACCTTAGATAAAGCAGAGGGAACAAACCACTCTAGCCATATCCTGAACCTAGCTGCTATTACAACTTCCCTCTCCTTCCCCTGCCTTCCATTCCAGCTGGATTCTATTGACAGCTGGGATGTGGACTCTGAGTGACAATTGTACTGCTAAGGATTTGAGTAAACATGCAATGAAAAAAGAAAGAGAACTTTAAACCACAGATTTACATTTGTGGCTATTGGATCTGGCTGTGTGATAAAATTTGCTATGAAATGTTGTATGCATATAATTCCATAAATGACAGAGGGGTCATCTCAATTAGAGAAACCTGCAAAGAAAAATCATGTTAATGCGACACAGCCTCCTTGCTTTTTGTCACAGGTGAGTGCATGAGAATTTAAACTATTGATATTGGAAATAAGGATCTGTAACATAGGATTTTTTTAATAATTTTGCCAATTGGAGCCTCTGCACAAAGGGAGCCAATCTCCAGATGGAAATAGACTTCTAGGGTTTTCAAAAAAGACTTCTAGGGTTTGGGTCTGACTGGGAGGGGTGGGGAGTCAAATTCTTTATTGTTGCAGTTTTGTTTTTGCTAATGAATTCTTGCAAAATCAGATTGTTAATCCTTTGGGGCTTATAACCTTCTGGGCTGATGTGCATATTTTTGCTTGGATCAATTTGGACAATCTGGACTGCCAGCGAGAAAAGCATTTAGGAAAGCCTTGCTGTTTGCTTAGACTTGGAACGCAGATGTCTGGCCCTCCAGCAGATGTCTGGCCCTCCAGCGTCTCAGCGTTGCTGCTGTTGAGGAAAAGCCTCTGGCTTTGTGGGAATACTGAATTCGCAGGTCCTAATTTCCTGCATTTGACTCCAGGCTGAAACCTGATACTGTCTGCTAGGCTCTGTTTCAATTTCAGCACTGAGTTGTGCTGAACTGAAAGCAGGCACAGGCTCAATGTCCAGCACAAAGTAGCTGGGGCTCTTGCAAATGTAAGATACCCCTCTGCAGAGTCGTAAGCTATACAATATCCTGGATGCTGGCCAGGCCATCTAGGTCACTTGCTGATCACCTAGAGGAAGGGCTGGTTCTCTAGTGGGACCCTCTGAAATGGAGCTGCTGATCAGCTCTCTATTTCTGATGCAAGATCCTGACTTGTGATTCCTGCTGAAGTTGCACTGTAGGGCAGAGCACGCCACAGGCACCAAGAGAGCAGACTCTCAAGCATGCTTGTCCCCCCTTCCGGATGAGTTGCTCTTGCAACAATGGATTGATAGCCAGACTCTACTCTTACCTTTCTCCTGCTACAGGCATTTCAGTAATGCAACTTGATCACTCAGTGCAGTTGTCACCAGAAAGAGATTTGTCTTTTCTAGTTCGCTTATTGGATAAGTGATCAGAACAAATGGCTTGGGGAAGGGCTATGTAAATTCATTTGGGAAAAAAATATCGAAAAATCAAGATTTTGCCCTGAAAAGTTCCTGAACACGCTTTGTCTTTCTGGTTAAATTGTATTAAAAGGTTATTCTGTGTGTTTTTGTCCCTCTTGCTCACAATTTTTCTAGACAAAAGGTCTGGGTGAAAAAAGAAATGCATAGGGAAAATTGTAATGTTAGGATTACTGAATAGAACTCACTGATTTCATAACAACCTAGGAAAAAAATTGGTGCCTGGGGAGGCTCAAGGGAGGGAGGAGGGCATTAGTGATTTTTGTTTTTAGGAACTGCTTCTGGAAGCTTTCCTCTCTTTCTGATATGGTAGGGGTGAGCCATCCCCTGCACAATCCTGGTCCCTGCAGAAGACTGGCAGAAGCCATCTAAAGTTTCCAGGTGGATAAACTAGTGTCCCTGGCTCAACTGTTTGAAGCCGTCAGCCTTAGGCCACCCTTTCTGAAACTGTAGACTGAACGGAATTCTTTTTTTAATTTTTTTACTTTTATTTATTTATTTATTTATTTATTTATTTATTTATTTATTTTTGACAGGCAAAGTGGACAGTGAGAGAGAGAGAGACAGAGAGAAAGGTCTTCCTTTTGCCATTGGTTCACCCTCCAATGGCCGCCGCGGCCAACGCGCTGCAGCCAGCGCGCTGCGGCCGGCGCTTATCTGAAGCCAGGAGCCAGGTGCTTCTCCTGGTCTCCCATGCGGGTGCAGGGCCCAAGCACTTGGGCCATCCTCCACTGCACTCCCGGGCCACAGCAGAGAGCTGGCCTAGAAGAGGGGCAACCGGGACAGAATCCGGCGCCCCGACTGGGACTAGAACCCGGTGTGCCAGCGCCGCAGGCGGAGGATTAGCCATTTAGCCGTGGCACCAGCCTGAACAGAATTCTTTGCACTGGACTGAGAGAGGCCCCTTGGGGACCTCTCCAATGCATATCCTGCTCAGTGTGCCTGATATTGTCACCCATTTGTCTCCAGGGACCACATATGTTTTCAGGGACTATACTTTCTCTCTCTGTGTGTGTGTGTGTGTGTGTGTGTTATCATGACACTGGCAGGTGTCCAGGTCAGCTTCCACTTACTGGCCAGAACTGTGCTAGGCCTGAATTGATACCTTGGACCAGGTTTAAAAAAAGATTCATACAAAAACTGAGGGAGTCACCTAACTGCCTAAGATAGACCTTTATGGTAAATGGGATTCGTTTCAAAAGGCTGGGTTCAGAACACCTAAAGGGCATAATGAACATTGCAGGTTGGTCTCATCCTGCTATGCAGCATCCTAGTGATAATTCTTCTTAACCCTTTGCCAAGGCTTAAGGGGTAGACTGTGCAGAAACAGTTAACACAACGGGTCTGAGACTGCTTCCTTAATGACAACATGGCCTGTTTGCAAGGTTAGCCCTTGGCGGACATCAAAGAACTTCAATCTGCGGAAGCATTTGAGCCCTTCCCTAACCATGAGGATGACTCACTGTGCCTAGACTGATTGTGGAAACAATGTAGTTTATGCTGAGCACCTGCTTTTTGTCCATGTGTTCGGAATTTGGGTGCAAGCTAAGTAGCAGGTTCCTCTATCAGCTCTCAATGAAAACCCTAAACTCTGAATCTCAAATGGTTTCTCTAGGGGAAATATTGCACACATATTGTTGAGTTTTCACTTCTGGGGAAAGAATGCTCCCTGCGTAATCCCTATGGGAGGGAGAGAGAATAAGGAGGCCTGCACATGGATTCCTCCAGACTCCACCTGGGTCTCTGTCCCTTGTATTCTGGCTATATAGCCTGACGGCATCTCTGTAATCAATCTTAATGCTGAACACAACTATTTACATGACACCTAACACATCTTGGAATCAAGCAGTGATCTTGTGGTCCCTCAATCAGTGGAAATCTCAGCTAATTTCATCACACTGTCCATGGGTATCTTGAATATTAGGTAACGCTGATCACTGCTTTGAAATTAAGACAGTAATTAGTTCTGAAATTAAGAGACTTATTAGTTCTGCCACTATGTAATTTCTTATTTACTGTGTTGATGGAGAAGCACATATACCACATGTAAAAAATATTTTAAATGTTGTGCTTGTATATAGCTTATTTTATTTTCTTAAGAATGTTTTGCTACATTGCTCTGGAAGTCTAATTCCGAGAAGATATCCACAGGATTCACCAGACTGCTAAAGAGGTCTGGAAAGTTGAAGACTCCCTTCAACGGGTTATTACCGTGGATGATGTATGCTTATTACTAATCAGCAATTTATTACTCATAAATGAATGAGCATGCAGTGCCCTAAATTTCATCCAGGGACAAAGAAGAAGCAGTGCTGTGGATTATAATGCAAGAGGTACCAGGAACCCATAGTGAAGTCACTTTACGATTTTCTGCCATGTTTGTTCAAAGTTACAGTCACATAGACAACACATCTAAAAGGTGAAAGGTAATTAGGGGTTTATAATTATATTGAGTTCTGGAACTATAACTCTTCCTTATAGAACGTAAACTTGATTTCAGTTCCATAATGGTGTATAGAAATATCCCAAAAGAAAACTAAAAATTCTCATATTTCATTTTTATGAGGCTCTCCAACCAACACTGCTTCTTGTCTCCTTTTGGGTACAAAGACAGTCTTCCATGTAACTGACAGGTGTCGAAATGAAGACAGAGCAAAGTCTTTTCCCAACAACACTGGCAGGCCATAACATCAAATACCATGTTACTTAGAGAGGTATTTTTTGCTTATGTTGACTAGGTTTTAATAAGTTTTGAAGTCTTAGTTAAGCCCCCAATGAAACTTTTCAGTCATGTTAATGGTTAACACCTTAAAATTTATTAAAATGTAATATTACAAATTCAATTTGAGCAGGTACATTGGAGTCAGTGACTAAGCTTTTGGAAATAGCTGACTAGTGGAATACCCTGCTCTTCTCTTAAAGATGTACAGAAGTGTGTTACTTGTTGACAAACGTTTTCCTTCACAATGAAACATCATAGGACAGAGGCTTTGTTAATCATCTATAACTAAACTATTTCTTTAATTGAATACAAAAATACTATGCATGTAAAAATAATAAGAAAGTTTATTTCACAATATTTGACATTCTTCTATCCACACCTCTTACACGGTTAACTTGGCTTGTATGGGCTAAATGGCTTCATAACTTCGCACAAAGCATCTCCAGCATCATATCATCCATGCTGACTGTGCCAATGATGGGCCTGAAGAACAGTTCAGCAATGACATTGGCATTGATGAATCTCAGCAGGAAAAGAGCACTGTTCAGTTCAGCGAATCTGGCCTGGTGCCCTCGGTGCGTCATCCTGACGTGTTCAGTGAGTATCTGCTGAGTTCCCCACTGAAGTCCCTGAATGTACTTCACGCACTGCAGGCCTGGCAGGTCTGGAGGGAGAAAAATCTCCTTGTTAGAAATGGCTCATCACAAATCCTTTGCTAGATTTTTAAATCTATCCTTTCTGCCTCTTCCCAATTAAACAAAAGCTCAAGATTCCTGATTCAAGGGTTTTTGAGAGCACAGATAAAATACCAAACCAGTTGTAAGTTTCCAGAAACAACACTTCCAAGAATGAAACATTAGGTGATTTTCCTTATTAAATATCCACAATGCTTGCATACACACATTTAAAAATGCTGGCTGTGAGCCAACAAGTGCACGCCTAATTTGACAGTCGAGTATACTTTAATGAATCATTGTGCCAGCTCACTTTTTATACAATATGAAAAAAAAATAATGCTATCTCAGGAGGTGAGCACTGGGCTTTATACCATGGAAAACAGTCCACTGTACAATAAGTTTTGCCATCTGCAAATATTTTACCATCCGCCCACAAATTTCCCACCATGATACTGATTATTCAACCAATAGTGGTAAACTCCCCAGCCACAAACTGTGACTCCTGGGTTTCACTGTATTATTTGCTGCAGATCAATATTAATCTAGAGGCCCAAAATAATTTAAAAGCTAATGCTGGCTATTTAGTTCATTGTATCATGGTTTCTGTATTGGGGGGCTTATAAAAAGGGGAGGTGCTTCTAATGAGTGTTCCAAAAGGCTTTTTAAATATATATATATATATATATAAAAAGATTTTAGAAATAATTCTCCTCCAGTCTTGAGAGGGTTAAAAGTAAATACTAGAATATCACGGACCACAACACAGTTCAAACAGAACTTTTTTAATAGACAATGCATGACCTCTTTTCAGTCAAGTGGATACTTAAGTAAAGTGAATGAAAATACAACCCTGGAAAGAAGGATATATATTAATATACTATTTTATTATATTGTATTATATATAGTAATCCTTGTACAGAAGGTGGTAAGAGGAGTCTGTTTTTAAAAGCCCTATGATTCTCCATGACAGTAATATCGTTCCAAAGTTCTTTAATTTGTATTCAAGTAAGTAATAGTTTATCATTAGGATTAAATAATGCCAATTATGATTGCAATCACTTCCCTTCCCTTTTTCTACAAAGTTCAACAGAATAATATCTTATAAGTATTATGCTAATCATCACAGAGTAGCAGAACCAATCAGTGATCTCTAAAAACTAATGGTGACAGATATGAGGCACTCTTCTAACAGGCAAATATCTGATCAATAAAATAAGAGCAAAATAATGCAGCACGTCTAACCTACACCCTAATTCAGATTACCCCAGTCCACACATCAATGTCTCCTACTACCTACAGCTCAACATCCAGGCTTGAAACTCAATTATATTGTTTGAATCCCACTGATGAAAGGAAGAGGCTTGCATGAAACTCCACCAGAAACTCAAAGCTCCTCCAGTCCAGAGTCATGGTTCATGAAAACTTCATCTTGTGAACTCCACGTTACTTTTCTCTGCTATCACACCACACCCATCCATGCCCACACCCTCCAAAATTGTGGCTTTTTCTGCAAAAGAGTCTTACCTTTAAAGTAAAGAAATATAAATGGCAGGTGGGCTCCCCAGTTTCCTAATTCTCCGTATCTTTATGTTTAAACCCAGAGAGTTTGTAGGAATAGAATTAAAAGATGAGTTTATTTTTGCTGCATTTTTAAATCCATGCATTTTTTTCATAAAACTTTTTTCCATGAAGTTTTTGAAGACATCTTGTGGGGGGGGGTAGGGATTGAACAAGTGGGTTTATTAAAAGTACATACGGGTTTATACATAAAGATAAGGGAATATGAAAGGATAAACAACAAAGAAATATATTACTTTTCCCTCAAATGTTGCTGCATTTTATTTGCATTTCAAACATGCTCAGCTTAGCTAGTTAAACTGCTATTAAGAGAGGATTTGGAAAAGCAGAGGAAGAATAACAGAAGAGAGGGAGAGAGAGAAGAAGGAGAGGGGTGGGAAACAAGCTCAAGGAAAAGAAAGAACTATTGATATATAACACTTCTGGACGCTGAGCTCTGGTCTCACTTGTGTATCCCAGTGCACAAGGCACATTACAAATGATTAGTAGCACTGGCTGAATGATCTTACAAATGATCTTAAGTATCATCTGGGGCACTATTATAAATATGTATTTGCAGACCCTGGGCCAGAACTACTGAATCAGAATCACTAGGGGAGGAGTCTTTAAGACTTAACTCCCTGCTCCTCAACATATGTGAGTACTATCTTATGCACAGGCAAGTTTGGAAAACAATGATATAAATAAAAGGTGATCTACAATAGTCACTGGGATGAGCTGAGTTCTCTAGATCACAAAACATGAGTGAATTATTGTCTCATCTAATACTGCTGTTATACTCTGGAAAAGTGCTACACAGGGGCCAGGGACATAATCAAAGACCACTAGTGTCTCGGGAAAAGGATGTAGAAGGAGCATTATAAAAACTTTCCCAACTCAAGTGGCCTGGAAACTTCCTTCCCACTTGTGACCCTCTCAGAAAGACGCTGGCTGAAGATGACTCTAGGAGCAAGACACATCTGAGACAAGGTGCCGCACTGCCTGAGGCCATGGTCTCCTGGGATTTGGTTGCACTGTGAGAGTCCAGCATCCAACAGACAACCTGAAACTGTGCTGCAGCTGACATCTCATTGGGCCCAGAAGACAGGACACCCAGCTGCCACGGAACACAGGCGGTTTGTTTTAGGGTAAGGTCACCTTGGACTCAGCAACCTATTCTGTAAATTGGGGATGGCAGAGGGTGTAGAAGGGATTGATTAGGGTGCCTCTAAGGTCCCCTCAAGTTGTGAATTGGTGCCCCTGATGTCCATTCCTACTGTGTCTTTTCTCTGGCATTTTCCCAACCTGACATTCACAGAAATTTGGAGGATGGGATGGTCCAGATGCTAAGGACAGTACAAAGACCATTCAGAGGCCGACCAGTGAAACACTAAATACAGTGTCCTGACAGCGTCCCCAGGGGATGGTCTCTCCACCAAGTCCTTCACAAAGGTTTCCCTTCTTACCAGACCTAATCAATTTCCTCCAATAAAAAGATTCTAGTAAATTTCAGAACGGGCTTTCCAGGGAACAAAAACTTCTTTTGAAGCCATGCTACTGGATTTAAAAGTGAATTAGAGAAGAAATGGTCGTGTCCCAGGAAGGCACAAACTTTTCCATAGTAACAAAAATATGTAGAGAATCAAAAGCAAACCTCAACAAGCAATTCCCTTCTGTCTACTGAGTTTCTGGCAACAGCTCAGCCATGAGAAGTGGTTCCCACAGCATCCCATCCCAGTTTGCTGAGTAGTCTCTGTGCCCCGACATCCCCGCCCCGACCACTGAAAACACTAGCACCTACAGCCCGGGGGAGGGGAGAACACACACTGCTCAATGCTTCTCTGAGCTGGGAGAAGCTGACGCCCGAGGCCAGCGCCCTTACCCGGGTTAAAGAGCACGGTCCCCTTGAGGTAGGCATACTCCTTGGTACTGATGTCCAGACTCCAACACTTGGCAAGGAAGCCCTTGATGGCTTGGACCTCTGCTGCTGAGGGCATCGGCCTGGCCTCCGGCGGCGGTGCCAAATGTGACTGCGGTGTGGACAGGGGCGGTGGCTCGTTGCCCGCGGTCTCCTGCCGCCTACTGGTGAGGATCCTCTGCAGCATGCTGGGCTCCGAGGTCTCCACGGTCTCAAAGTGCAAGCGGTCCTGGGCCAGCTCCAGCATGAGCAGGGGCGCCCAGCAGCTGCGCACCAGCACCAGCTGCTGGTCCAGGGGCAGCACCTGGAAGCAGGGCAAGTACTTGACGAAGCGCAGCGTCTTCAAGAGGCCCGCCGAGGCTGCCTCGCAGACCACCTGTGGACTCTTGAGGGCCACCGGTCGCAGCGCATCACAGGAGGTGTCCCACCAGGGGGCCCTCGGCTGCATCTCTGGAGCTGCGTGCGTCTGATTTGCGCTCCTGGCCACGCTGTAGAGGATGCTGCTCCGCTGCGGGCGGTCTTCACCGCAAAAGCAGCAGCGGCACAGGAGCGACAGGGCTCGGCCACCGGATAGCCCCTCTCTAGCCCCCAGCCTCGGTGCTCCGTAGGAGCGCTCCCACCAACAGCCTCTCAGTGGTGCCTCGGGCGCTTCCGGAGCCACGTGCGACTGCTTTGCGCTCGTGAGCAAGCTGTATAAGATGCTGCCCTGCCGCGGGTGGTCTTCACCGCAAAAGCAGCAGCGGTACAGAAGCGACACGGCTCGCCCGCCGGACGGCCCCTCTCCGCCCACCAGGGGCTCAGCGCCGCAGGAGCAGCCCCAGCACGGACCCGCGAGCCGCGCCTCGGGCGCACTGGGAGCGGCGTGCATTTGCTTTGCGCTCGTGAGCATGCTGTAGAGGATGCTGCCCTGCCGCGGGTGGTCTTCACCGCAAAAGCAGCAGCGGTACAGGAGCGCCAGGGCTCGCTCGCCGGACAGCCCCTCTCCGCCTACACGGGGCTCAGCGCCGCAGGAGCAGCCCCAGCACGGACCCGCGAGCCGCGCCTCGGGCGCCTTTGGAGCGGCGTGCATTTGCTTCGCGCTCATAAGCATGTTGTAAAGGATGCTGCCCCGCCACGGGTGGTCCTCGCCCTCCATGGCCCGTGGCGCCCGCAGCCCGTTCTGCCCAGTGGCCGCCTCCTGGGACCTATTTATACTGAGCGCGCACGCAGGCGCGCCAGTTGCCTCCTCCTGGGCAAGGGCGCGGAGGGGGGCGCGGCGCTGAGCTCCGGTGCGTTCGCCCGTGACCTGGGCGGTTCAAAGGGGCAGATACTCTTTGCAAGCTGGAAATAGAAGAGAGACGTCAGCCAGCGAGCTCCGGAACACTTCCCACTTTCCTCTCGTTGCTCCTTCCCCTCCTTCTGGAAGACAGCGAGCCCGGCGCCTGGAGCAGGGAGTTGGGGCGCTGTTTGGACACTTTCCATTGAACCCTGACATCTACTTTAGTCCCTTTATCGGGAGGCCAGGGGTGCCTAAAAGGGGAACACCTATTTCTGTGCCATCTGTGTAAATGTTCATTAAATGATCACATTTTGTATGACTTATATCTTGTGTGTGGGTGGGAAATTCTCTTTTTTTGAGACCTTGAAAAATAGACTAGCAGTATCAGCATCATATAAGAGGTCGGTGGAAATGCCCCATCTCAGGCCCAAACCAGACCTTTACGCTGGATCCGCCTTTTAATGAAGTTCCCATGGGATTCCCATGTGCCTTAATGTTTACAAAGTACCGATCTAAGTATGTTATCATAAACGTTCCTTTTAATTCAATCAAGATTTAGAAGTGCTTACTGTCCTCAATGCTGTATTAGAGAGCTGGAGGCAGCGACCAGGTTATGAAAGTGGAAATAAAATAACCACCAGAGATTAAAAGATGGTTACAGTAAGAACTTTCCATCCTTGTGGAGGCATTATATTGGTAAGTGTAATTAACATTGCTTTCCCCACCCTCTCTAAGCCAACGGTGAGAAATAGAAGCATCAGGAAGCCTGGATCGTGTGGTCTTCATGTGCCACGCAGCCTCTCTCGAGTTCCACAGACACTGAACTCCGAGGATCGCCCCATAGCAACACTTATCCCTTAATGTAACAAGGTCGTTGTTTCCCCGCCAACCAGCCCAGCCTAACTTCAAAATCACAACCCTTTCATCCTCAAATGTCTCATCTCTAAAATGGCATGTTTATGTTAGTAATCTGTGGATCCAGGGCTGAAGATATAGAGCAGGAAAGGGGATTAGTATATACCAGCTGGCATACAATCCCCTTTCTTTTCTCTCTCACTCTCCCTCCCTCCCCTTCTCTCTTTCTCAGACCAGGAATTCAGAGCATGAGAAGAAAGCATGAAAGATCCTCATTTTTCTTTCAACCCCAAATTTTATTCTGTCTGTGGCAGGCCCTTTACCAACGTGGTTAATTCTTTGGCACTGGCACCAGATTGCCTCAATTTTAATCCTGGCCACGCCAGTTTATAGCCCTATGGCCTAGGGCAATGTATTAGTTTCCTATTGCTGCTGTAAAAATTGCCACAAATATTGTGGCTTAAGGCAACACAAACAGCACAGGTCAGAAATCATTTTCACTGGATTAAACTCAAAGTGACATTCCTCCTGGAAGCTCTAGAGTAGAATCTATTCCCTTGCATTTTCTAGCTTCTAGAAGCTGCCTACATTCCTTGGCTCCTAGCCACATCACTCCAACCTCTGCTTCTATGTCCTTCTTTGGCTCTTTCAAGAATCTTTGTGATTATACTGCATCCAGATAATCTAAGAAAATATCACCATCTTCAAAGCCACATCTACAAAGTCTCTTTTACTTTGCAAGATGAACAAATTCACAAGAGCATTATTTATCTTGTATAGGAAAGCTTCTTAAGCCGTCTGGCCTAGTTTCGTCATATGTGAAAGTAAAACATGACCAAGAGTCTCTGTGAGGTAATCCTCGTACACAAGTCAAATAATTTGAAATGCTTAGAAAAGTGTTTAGTATATGGGGTTGGATGTATCGACCATTACTTTTCTTTCTTTTTTAGGACAATATAGGAGGACTTGAGTGTGAGAAAGTGATACTGCACCAGCACCAACATAATTCTCTCTCTCCCACTTTTTTAAGATGTCCACATTTCTTGTCACAGACTCAGAATGACAGATAGGTCACCTTATCCACAATAATAACATGTATTGGCAATATTACCTCATTGTCAGTTTCATTATTTGCCCTTTTCAATACACAAGCTACTATTTTGGGCATTATTATTGCTGCTTCCACAATGTTTCTGCTTAATGAACCCACCTACCAGCCTACCTGAAAAACCCAGCTTACTTCAGCCCTAAGTTGCCAATACTGGTTATCATTTTGTTTTCTTACCAATACCTGATATGATTTGTTTATTTAGTTACTTGATGATTACTGATCCCCCCACAACACACACAGGCGCGCATACACACACACACACACACACACACACACAAGAAGCTTGAGGACAAGGAATCTGTCATTCTAAAACCATGGCTGATACATGCTAGATGCTTAATTATCTGTATTTGTTGGCAACTGTACCTTTGCAGAGAGTAGGAGGCTACAGCTTCTGCACTCAATGAAGAGACCAAGTGTTCCCACAGAGCTGTTGCTACATTGGCCTGGAAGGGAGGCGAAGTTAGCCAGCTTTATTAGACACGGAGTTTTCTTGAGGCCTATTTTGTTACAGTGCTATAGGCACTGTGGTAGAATAACCAGAGAACTGGACTTACAGTCGAAAGATGTGCCCTGAATTAGGGCTTTTACACTCTGAAGATACAACATCGAACAAGTTGGTTAGCCTTCTCATTTGTGATATGGACACCTTATTCTAAATCATTAAAGAGTTATGATATTTATCTCTCAATATGGCAATTTACAGAAATGTTTCCCGGAACCTCCTCTACATTGAAATAAAAAGTAACTTAAGTTCATACTGAGTTGCTTTATAATGGTTTAATGTTGAGCAAAGTATTTAACATTATGTTAGCCATTCCTTCCATAAAATGAGGGGAAAAGTGCTATAAACTTGCTTTAATATATACACCTTAGCCCTATAGGACTTTTCTAAAAACCCTTACATCTAAACAGCTATAGTTTTAAAAATCCTGGAAACTTAAACTAATTTTGTGTGACTTTAGTCATTCATACCTTACACATATTCAATGCTTTTGCTTTTAAATTTCAGACATTGACTGAAATTGAAACTTAAGTATAAGGAGACTTCAAGAAGTTTGTGAAAAAAATAGAATTGAAGACAAGTTTATTTTGTTGCAAAAAGTTTTTGAGGTCCATGTATAGTTTTTTAAACAATACTTGTTTTCCATGAACTTTTTGAAAATCCCTTGTGCAGAACCAAGAATCATGAATTTGTAATATAGTGGTCATAATCCAAGTTCTTTCCCAGAGAAAGGGTCTTCTTATTTTCTTCTGTTTTTCTTGAAGTTGTGATCTGATCTTCTATTTGAAATACTGGAGAACTTTCTGGGCTCTTTGGATTGACTGTTTCTGAGGAGAGATTGCCTACTTACCCTTCATAAGTATTCATCCTTGGAAATGTCAGGAGAAACCAATTTCATCTTTCTACTTTTCATTGTTTCCCCTGAACAAATAGCTCCTGAAAAACAAAATCATCCAAATACACCAGTCAAGAGATTTTCACCAAGTAAAGCCAGCCTGCTGATTGCTAAAGCGTTAGTGAAGACGTACCTTCTAAGTCAGGCACAAGCTTTCTCATTTGATTTGTCCCATGTTCTCAGACCACTGTGACAGTTAGACAAAGACACTCATCAACTGCATCTGTCATGGGCTGAGTTTGTCCACACTGCAATTTGGATATTTACACTGACTCATTGTGCGATGACCTTGTCCAGTTGGACACCTGCTTTGTAGAATCCATTATCTGTTCCAACTCCGGGTGGGAGGAAAGCTCCTCTGCCTGCCTGAGTACAACCTTCAACTTCAAAGTAATGCAGTTTTCGCTAAAGGATGTAGGAGTGAAGTAAAGGTGGAGATAAAGCTGGGTAAAATTGTGTAACTGGCCTCTGACAGCAAGCTACTCTTGACCTGGGAGGGCATGACGATCTGAAGCATGATATGAATTTTTAATATGGACTTAAAAGAGCTGGACTGCCTTAGAACTCAGTTCCTTCAGTAAATAGGATACAGGGAGTATCAAAAATGCTTTCCTTATTTTTCATGGTACATATCAGATAAACACCATTTTAAATGAACAGTAGCAGATAAAACTCAAGAGATAGCCTTCCTCCTTTTCCTTCCCAAGACCCACAATGTTTAAAGCTTTATTTATGAAAGAATCAATAGGCTTCAGCTGCTGATTCATGAAGCCCCTATAGCAGATCAAATCATCATTATTTATTTCCTTCAGATAAACTGCAAAGAAAATAATCAGTTGCCTTAGGGGCCACATAATTGCTGAGCTAGAATTATGACTCTTGTATTTACTGTACTCCTGAAATGTCCTAAAGTCAACTTTCCAAATCAAACAACCATTCTTTCCAAGGAAAAACTGATCATCAAATTCATTTACTTCATCAGATTTACAAATTTTGAGACCATCCCAACACCAGATGTTTATTAAATTATCTAATTAGCGAATTCAACTGACAGGTGGAAAATTTTTTGCCCCATTACTTTGACAGATTTGAAAAAGCATTGCTTTGTTCACATAGCTTAACCCCTAATGGGGATGGTGAATGTAGTAACAGACTTCAACTGGATTGTGACCTGTGGCTGTTTTAATATCTCTCTGCAAGGAAACTGCTTTCTTCTCCCTTCTAACTTTTCTTAGTAACTTTCTCCGTACAATCATACTTCTAGAGTATTGCTATGGTGTGGATATGGTATGAGAACAGCCCCCAAAGCTTTATGTGCTAGAGCCTTGACTTTCTGTCCAGTGATTTTTGAGGAGTAATGGAAACTTTAAGAAGTGGGGCCTAGTAGGAAGTGACACTGCCCTCGTAAGGGATTAATGCAGTTTTCGTGGGACTCCAGTGTGCCATGTGTCACATTGTGATGCAGCCAGAAGGCCCTCACTAGATCCAAGCAGATGTTGTCACTGTGAGTGAAATAAATCTCTTTTCTTTCCAAAGCAACCAGTGTCAGATATTTTGTTACAGCAATAGAAAATTGACCAAGAGAAA